TGAGGCTTGAACCCAGGTCCTTACTTTAAATAAATGAATACAAGTTTTAAATGGACCCTCAGGACTTCTCAATAACCCTATATTTCACTAAGCAATTTACTCTTCTCTCCTAGAAGATTACTGCAAATCTTCTAAGGCCAAGTTACTTACTCACACATTAGGCGAGCACTCTATGGCTGAGCCACAACCCCAGACCTAGTATTCTTTTTTTATTATTATATTCATAATTTCATCTTCTCTTTACAAATTCAGAAAGTATATGCTTATGCAGATGAAGACAAAGGGCAACCATCTCTTAGTCAGCTTTTCATCACTGTGACCAAAATACCCAACAATAACAATTTGGAGGAGAAAAAGGTTATTTGGGCTCACAGTTTCAGAGGTTAAGTCCATGGTTGGCCAATTCCATTGCTCTGGGTCCAAGATGAGGCAAAACATCATGGTGGAAGGGTATGGGGGGAGCAGCGCTGCTCCACTCATGGCAACCAGAAATCAGACAGAGGGAGAAAAGAAGGGGCCACAGGGAAGATGAACCCTTCCAGGGCACACCCTCCACTGACCCACCCACCTGCCGACAGTTACCAACTAGTCCATTTAAACTCGGATGGACTGATTAAGTTTTAGCTCTCATAATCCTCTGAATATTCCTACATTGGCACAGGAGCTTTGGGGGTACATTGCATATCCAAACCATAACACCATCCAAAGACTGTTTGCTCATATATGATACAGGTTCCCCCACTGGCACCATGAGTTGTTGTCCTTTCATTTGAGAAGACTTTGGTGAAAGCTTCTTGGATACCCTGGACCGGTGTCAGAGATTCTGTCCATGGTCAGCCAATTCACTGCTTCAGGGCTGTGATGAGGCAGAACATCATGACAGACAGGTGTGGAGGAAGAAAGCTGCTAAGCTCATGACAGGAGGCAGGGAGAGGTCAAGTTCAGTAGAACATCTTTTCACTGACTTCTAAAAAGTTTGATCAGCCCAGAGTTTGAATAAGGGAAGCAAAAATTCTGTGTTACCCTAACTGGTCCCACATATCCTATAAGGCTATGAGAAAACCAGAACCAAATATTGCTCACTAATTCTAACATATACTAGAGAACAAACCCCACTGTCTCAAAATGATACAAAAGGTAAGTCCATTTTCCTGTAACAGTGGTTCTCAAAAGTATAATCCATGGACCTCTTGGGGATCTCTCAAGCCCTTTCAGGAGGTCCACAAGGTCAAAACTATTTCATAATATGAAGATATTTTTGTCTTTTCAAAGTGCATTTCATTGTATGCATTCAGTAATTTTTGAATATCAACTTCCAAACAAAATATATCAAAGGAAATTCACACTTAGATGTAGTCCAGTAAAATGTTAATATTTCAAGTATAAAGAAAAATAAACTTCTTTTTTTAACTTTTAGTTATAGATGGACACAATATTTTCATTTTGTTTACTTATTTTTATGTGGTGCTGAAGATCAAACCCAATGCCTCAAATGTATGAGGCAAGCACTTTGCCACTGGGCCACACAACCACAGCCCCCCGCCACACTTTTTTATTTTATTTATATATATGTTGTAGATGGATACAATATCTTTATTTTTTTTTTTTAATGTTGTGCTAAGGATCAAACCCAGTGCCTCATGCATGTGAAGCAAGCACTCAACCACTGAGCTACAACCCCAGCCCCTCAACAAAACTCTTAATGATAACACAAAACCAGATTCCCTAACAAAGGAACAAAAAAGTCAGACTTGCTCTATAGGGGAAAAAAAAAATGTACCTTAAGGTGTAAAATAAATAGAAAAATAAATTCCTGACACATGTCAAGCACATCCTAAATATTTGTTAAATATATATTCTTTTGTATGCAACTTCTCAGAAAATATGCAACCCAGTTTTTTAAAAAATATATTTATTTTTTTAGTTGTAGTTGGACACAATACCTTTATTTTTATGTGGTGCTGAGGATGAAACCCAGCACCTTGCACGTGCTAGGTGAGCCCTCTACAGCTGAGCCACAACCCCAGCCCCAGTTATTTTTCTTAAAGAAGTTACTTGATGTTATGAAGAACACTGAAAATAAGTATGTACATCAAGTAAATTATTAATCAACTAAAAGAATCTTAATAAGAATGCACAATCATCTAGTTTACAAAAGATAATTATACAACAGTTAAAACACATGACAGTTGTTTTGGTGGAGGGGAATACTAAGGTCATTCTAATATAAAATTCAGCAAAAAAAATACAAAATGAAATAAATATAAGTGGCTAACAAACATGTTGGGGAAATGCTCATTTTACTAAAACAACCATGCCAATTTAAACATCAAAAGAATACCATTTTTACCAAGTGAATTTACAAAGATTTTAAATAAAATACCACTGGTAGTAGGGATAGGAAAAAACAGATACTTCTAATATTTTGCTGATGGAGTGAAACTAACTTGAAAAAATACTTTTTAAAGTACTGCCTAACCAAACAGTTACTTTAAAATCACTTCAAGAAACACTGTCCCATTAGCTTCTTCAAAAAAGGTAAAATGTCCCCTTCTCAGACTATACCCAAAAGACCTAAGAAGAGCATACTACAGGGACACAGCCACATCAATATTTATAGCAGCACAATTCACAATAGCTAGAATGTGGAACCAACCTAGATGCCCTTCAATAGATGAATGGATTAAAAAAATGTGGCATTTATACAGGATGGAATATTACTCAGCACTAAAAAATAATAAAATCATGGCATTTGCAGGCAAATGGATGGCATTAGAGCAGATTATGCTAAGTGAAGTTAGCCAATCTCTAAAAAACAAATGCCGAATGTCTTCTCTGATATAAGGGGGGGTGACTCAAAATGGGATAGGGAGGAAGAGCATGAGAAGAAGACTACCACTAAATAGGGAAGAGAGGTAGGAGGGAAAAGAGGGAGAAGGGGAGTTGCACAGAAGATGGGAGGAGAACCTCATTGTTATAAAGAATACACATATGATGTTATAATGAGAAAAAGGAAAAAAAAGTGTGTCACATTAGATTGGATAGAGAGAAAGGATGGGAGAGGAGGGGAGGAGTAGGGAGGATAGGAAGGGCAGCAGAACAGAATAGACAATATGATTGATGTATGTACAATCCATATATGAATTATATATCAAAATGCATTCTACTGTCATGTATGAATAAAAAAAATAAATAAAAATTTTTTAAAAAAGGTAAAATAGCCAAATTTTTAAAACCCTACAAGTCTAACAAGATTATTTTCCTAACTGCCTACTTCATTAGTGTGTAGGTCAACATAAAATTCTAGGTGGAAAATAATGTTCCTCAGAATTCTGGGGCATTTCTCTTTTGCTTTTCATCTCCAGGGTTACTGGTATAATGTTTGGGAATTTTCTGATTCCCTATTCTTTTTTATATGGCCCATTTTTTTGTCACTTGAAGCTTTTAGGATTCTCTCCATATTTTCAGTTTTCATTGTACTAGGCACTTGTAGATTCCTTCAATCTTCAAAGTCATGTCTTTTCCTGAAATTTTCTTATATTAATAATTTGATAATTTCTTTTCTTCCATTTATTTTTGTTTTCTCCTGGAACTCTCATTATACAAATATGTCATCTTGGACCCTCTTTCTCATATTTCAAATTTTTTATCTCTTTGTTCTGCTTTCTGGAAGACTTCCTCAAAATTACATTTAGTTTCTCTGTTTTCATTTTAGTTGTTATATTCTTCAATTTCCATAAGTAATATCTTCAGGCATTTTTTTTTAAGAGCTAAGGTCTTGATATGTTGCCCAGGCTGGCTTCAAACTCCTGGACTCAAGCAATCCCCCTGCCTTGGTCTCCCAAGTAACTGGAGCTACAGGTGCATCCTGTAGCTCAAGGGTTTTATTATCTTTCTCTATTTCCTTTTTTTTTTTAAACAAAAGAATATTATTTTTGGAGCCTTTCCCCAAATACTCCCAAATTACCTTTGAGAGTAAGGCACTAAAAAGCCAAAAAGGCAGGGCATGTGAAGAAGTGAGTGTTCAGGAGAACGTCCCTCCATTGGCTACTAGCTGGGCAGAAACCCAGCTATTTCTCTGGGAGATCTGCACCAGCCTGTATTTGCACATCTTTTTTCTTGGCTGTTTGGGAAGTATTTTCCTCTCTCTTCCCTGGAGTACCTCTTTGATTCTCATTCTCACACAACTAGACAGAAGTTGTTTGACATGTGATTCTGCAATACACTGAATGCAGAAACAGTTCCAAGAATCCAAGTGTGTTCTATTAAGCCAGACATTAGAGAGATGAAAAAATGTAAAGCAGTGTAACTTTTCCCACTAAATTTTCTCATTTTAGATAGTTTGTTCTTTAAAACTTTTTGTTAAAATGTAATGTACTTGTTTTTTAAATGTATTTCAAAACTTTTCAGTTTTATTAAGTTTTTATACTATAAATATCAATAGGCATAACCCACATGCACCAGCATCCTCAATAACATTCTTTAAAATTCCTCCTATTAAATTCATTTCATTAATTTTTGGAATGCAAAGGGGCTGCCTCAAATGACAGTGTACATTAAGAGCAGGTGAAACCGCAGGCAATAGTCCTCTGCTTCAATTCTCTTTCTGTGAGGTTCTGAGGCAACACAGCTCTACAGAAGATTCTCAATAGATCTCAAAAATGGTAGTACATGCAGAGAAGACAAATCCAAGTGCAGGGGGAGTTGAAATGGGTATTCCAAAGAGAACAAATCACTGACTGCTTCATGACAAAAGGGTATAAAATAAAAACCAGAGAGCAACTGGTTTGTCCTGAGGTGTGTTGCCATTTGGAGAATCCAGGATCAATTACTACTGGTAGCAAATTAGGTTCTCTGTACCAATAGAAGCCACAATGGCTTTAGGAGAAGTCTAAGCTGCTGAGTTCCAGGCACCACCCTCTAGCCCTTTCCCACAGTCGTTGTGTTCTTGAGCCCTCTGAAAAAAACACCAGGTTGTCTGGAAAAAGAGAACAACTTACTGCTATCCACAAAGAAGGTGATCCTGTCTGATTAAGAACATCCTCTGCTGTGGCATTCACAGGACCAAATGATTTCAGGTTCAGGGTTCAGCCATACAGCTCTTTCCCAAACCTCCTTGCAGAAGAAAAGGAAGAAGCAAAAGAAACAGAAATTATAACTCCCACTTAAAAAGAAAAATGGAAGTCATGTCCATAATGCCCTCTTCAAACCACCTTATTCTCAATTCCTACACCTTATTTCATTCCAAATCTTTGAGTCTAAGATAAACTATTAGCCTGCCCAGGAAAGTCATCTCTCAAGGTTCTACCTATGAAATGATTTCACTACTCCTTTGATCTTCAGGCCTCCTCAGGAGGATCTATAAGACTTGTACCTGTTACCAGTACATTTCCCCAAATCAGCCATCAACCCAGGTAATGTTTTTTGTATATTATTTGAGCCAGGGAGGGCTTCCCAGTCTCCATTTGGCTCTTACTACTCTATCGTGGATCAAGAAGCCAATGTGAGAAATCTGCCATTGCTGAACTATTCACCCCAATGCCTAACTTTCTTGATAACTTCATTTGAAGAAAGTTCATCTATTACCTTAGCCTCTCAGATTCTGAGATTATAGGAATGCAATACCATGCCAGGCTTTTCTTATTCCAGATCTCAGCCATTCTTTAATATACCAATACATGTCCTACTTATAAGTGTATGTGTGTGTGTGTGTGTGTGTATTTTTTTTTCAGCCAATTTTGACCATTCCACCTGATCTTTGACCACATCAGAACCTGTAATCCAATGATTCTACCACATTTCACTATCACCCTCCTCAGGACCCCATTCCCTAAATTTAGAAACCATGATCCATGATTATATCCTCCCTTACCTACAACTTCCAACAACTACTCCCTCTTCATCCATCACACTAACTGACAATCCTGGGTAAACCCAATTCTCAGAGCCAAGAAATTAGCCACTGAGAGAGAATATTTAAAAAGCAATACCCTCATAAGCATTCCTTACTTTAAATAAATGATTACAAGTTTTAAATGGACCCTCAGGACTTCCCAATAACCCTATATTTCACTAAGAAATTTACTCTTCTCTCCTAGAAGATTATTGCAAATCTTCTAAGGCCAAATTACTTAGCAACCACTTCCCTGGTTGTCTCAAACCTTACACCATTGCTGTTGGCTTCTCTGGAATTTCTTCTTACCTATGACATGAAGCTATTTCCTCCTGCTTATACCCCAGGCTCAGTCCTTAGCCAGGACAGACTCCATCATCTTACTAAACCTAAGTTCCTTTACTGCCTGTTCACATTTATTCACACTGAAACGCAAATGTAGCTACTTTATTTTCTATAATTGATCTAATCTGTCTCCTTTACATGTGCTGTTCATTTGATAACTAATCTAAAATTCTTCATTAACATCTACCCTAAAAAAGAGCCAGGAAACTTGAAACTTGTCAAATAATACCTCAATCTCTTCCAGTTAATATTCAGACTAAGTTAAACTCCTTATCAGGACTGATTTAAATGGCTGCTCTCAGGTAAATTTTTCTCCAGGGTCTTATCAGTAATTCTTGATGGTGAGAAGGCCTTACATGTGGGGCATGTCTCTAGATCCTCACAGGTCTCTCCTGCAAGAAGGTAGTCAACTCCTGTCACTGAACTGGTACCATCTCATCTTTTGGGATGTCATGCTGGCTTCCATCCCTGGTGTCCATGGTTCACTCCCTAGTACCACCACACACACACACACACACACACACAGAGAACAAAAAAAGGCGGGAAGCAGAACCAAATCTCCTGTACTGGTAACTGTCCCCTGAGTCCACTTAGCACTCCCTCGGTATCCCCAGAACTTTAGCCAGACAAGAAAGTTCAGAATGTGTAACTCTCACAATTTGCTTTCCCTACTCTATGCCCCTTTTTTCCACAATTCACCAGGGCTGAAAAGGATGGACTTTCCACTTCCAAGCCATCCTCCTTCCTCCTGGGAGTTACGAGGCCTCAACATCAGGCTTAATGATGGATGTGATAGAAGAAACTATCATTAGAGTGTGCTAGTGGTAGCTTTTATATGGAAGCTATAGGCAATTTGGAACTTTGGAAAACCAAAGATAAACATATTGACTTAAACTTACCCAAAACATTGTCATTTCAAAAATTCAACAATTAGCCTGTAATTCCAGGAGCTAGGAAGGCTGAGGCAGAAGGATCACAAGTTCAAAGCCAGCCTCAGCAACTTAGCAAGACCCTAAGCAACTTAGTGACACCCTGTCTCAAAATAAAAAGGGTTGGGGATGTGAATCTATGGTTAAGTGCCCCTGGTACTAAAAAAAAAAAAAAAAAAAAAAAAAACCTTAAATAAAAATTTTTTAAAATTCAACAATTAGCATTTACAGTGTACTTTATATACGAAGGACAAAGATTACATTTAGATTACTACTCTGTGGGTAAGGAGACCTACAAACATAATAATAACAATGAAATTTTATGTGTTGTGTTTACCAAAACAAAGAGAAAATATGCCTAACTCATTTGTCAAATGATCTTCTCTATCTCTATCAAACTAAAAAATGTGTGTGATGGAAGGATGATATGAATGATTTCAGGTCACAATGTCATTGTCAATTAGCCTTCCTCTGACTTACTTCATTTTCTTCTCCACTCACAACATGAAAAAACAGAAACCATTCCTTAGTGAGAAGAAAAGAGAAAGAGAAGCCATGAAGCAAGTTCAAGTTTCTCAATTAACAAAAATAAATATGTAGAACTAAAGCACCAATCAAAACAGCCCTAGGGCCAAGGGAAGTATGTATAACACTGTAACAACCATTTTCAGAGACTATGAAGTAATTAAAACAAATGTTTTTCTTGTTTGTTTGTTTGTTCTACTTGGTTCCCCTTCCCATGTTGTTACAAAGTATATAACATTTTTATTCCATTACTTAATTTACATACAAAACAACAGCAGAAGAGCTGGTTCAGTTAGCAGAAAATTTCTGCTAGATATTTATACTACGGTCTAAGAGCACACTGCATGCTACCTGTTAGGCCTACAATAATTGAAAAATGAAATATCTGTTCTCAAATTTACTATCATAATTGATAGTCAATAAAGAGAAACAATTTTACTTACAAGAGAAAAAACAAAGATACTTAACCCCCAATGATGGGCACTCAAAAGTGGTGGAAAACTTGACAAAATGATGCACCAACATTTCCCCAGCAATATTTGCAGGCTGACATGAATCCCAACTACACACTTGAGAACACTACAACCACTGAAGAGGAAGTGTTCAATGAAGTGCCCACTGCAACACAAGTGAACTATGGTATACGTGGCCACCAGGATAGATGGATGGATGGACAGATACACAGATAGATATCCTGGCAACAAAAAACAAGCACAAATAAATTTTTTGTGCAAAGAACTAATAAGCAAGTATCTGTTAGTAAACATGAAGTATCCAACTGTTCAGTCTGTTTTATTTGGATTCTTGGCATTAGCCTTCATCATTTTTTCTATGTTTATACTTGTTGATTTCCCCATTGGATGAATATTTGTGGAAAGTAGAGCCTGCCTCCTATCTTAAAGCCAAAAAGATCAAATACTCACCTTCTCAAATTCTCTTGCAGGTGGTGTACAGGCAGTGAGTGGCCTAAACTCAGCCAATCCAAGAGAACCACTAAGGATTTTGAATCAGAAATTAATAACATAAAGAAGAATGGTTGAAAGAGCAACTCTACAGCAACAATAAGTATCCCAAAAAGCAGCAGCAAGGTCCAGTTTCCATGATGCTGGTGGTACATGCTGCAGAATCATTTTTACCAGGCAACCTAAGTGATATACTTCCAGACCCTAACCCAACTACTCTTACAGTGCAATTTTCACATAGTTCCTACCCACTTTCAAACCCAGGTTTCTCCAGATAGTAAAGCAATATTTAAGGCTTCCCAATACACTTTAAAGAAATTTCTTTTGTGCTTAAATCACCACAGTTGTTGCAAGAAAAATGAGCAATGGACAGCAGGAATGACATAGAATAACAAGTTCAGTTCTGATAATTCAGTTACTACTTTGTCACCATTTATTCATTCCAAAACTTTTCTGTTCCAAGAACTAAATCATGTGTTCTCCATCAATTAATATTAAAGGACCTAAACAGTAAGTTCTCTGCTTTGGACTATATTCAAATTCAGGATACATGCCAAAGGATGCAATGGTTTAAGAGTCCTGCTTTCTATAATTTGCCTGAATAAGAATCAAAGATGTATGACTTTAAATGCTGAGGCCTTCCATAAAAAAAAAAAAAAAAAAAAAAAAAAAAAAGTCAAGTCTTGAAAGAACGAATTGCTTTCAATCCCACAGTTTACAAAAACTTCAAGGTGCTCTCTCCTTAACAGGTGTATGTGTTGTCAGTATTACTTCAGAAAGCAACAGATACAATTATTTGGTAACTTTAAAATGCAAATATGAACCAAATAAGAACATAATAAGATTAATGGTAAAGCTACTGATTACCTCCCTGCCTTCATTCATCCCAACCCCAGACTGATGGTCTGCAAGAGCAGGAATGCTTAAAATCATCTGAACCATCACAAAAAGAGCTCTTCTGCTTTGTGCATGGAAGGAGTTCAATACTATTTAACTGAATGCAATTCTTATGTACTAAAGGTATAGTACATATATATTTCCAGAAGTTGATTTCTCATAGAACTTTAAACTGGCACTGTGCTTCCAGGCTTCCAAAACACTGCCACATGGATTCTCACAACTAGATAAGTGTTGAAGAGTTAGACTTGCCTGCAGTCACTAACTGGAAAAGCACACTGAGGAATCTCAGTTATGTAGGCTACCACAACACTTTATTTGCACCCCTTTGTCAGCCCTTCTGATACACTGTAACTCTATCACTCGACCTGCCCCCTAGGAATTCTTAAGGATATTCCATTAATATCCATATCCCCGAGCCACACAAAACCTGGACCATAAAAGTGCACCGTAAACACTAAGATTCTTCTGCCTTCTTCAAGCCTAGTTCTTTGCCAGCAGGGCCTCAGCTCTGAGCCTGCTTTATGCACATCCCTGTTCCTTCACGCCCACCCCTGCCACTTAAGATTTCCACAGCCACACCAAAGAAGCTTGTCGCACACGACGTAGACTTTTTGTTCCCTAGCAAAATTACCCACAGCCAACGCTTCCCCTCAAGCCTGCAACACTGGGGAGGAAGGAGTAGCCTGGGTAACCGGTCCTGCTTCGTTCGCCATATAGAGGAGCAGGGGCTGGGATTCCTCAATCCACTTGGCTGGAGAGCAGAGGGGTCGTCTCGGCGGGGCCTGTCAGGGGCGACCTGCCCCCAGGAACACGCGTGCCGTGGGGAGTGGAGGGCCCCGTGATCTCCGCAGAACCGCCGAGCTGCTGTACAGCCGAGTGCAGGCGGAGTTCTCCGAGGACTGTCCACACCACGCTCCCAGCACTCTGGACCCCCGCACCGCTCGGGACTAAGGTGGGCAAAGGCGCTCCATACGTACCCGAGTAGGCAGCGGTCGCAGACGACGCCACGACTCCCCTTGCACACCGTGTACGCCAAAGGATCCGAGCGAAAGAGCAGCTCCCCGGGGCGTAGCGGGGCCACTGCGCGCAGCCCGTTTCCCCGGTCGGCAGTCGTGAACTTTTCCATCTTCAGTGGCTCCATCCTCCCGCAGCTCCCGCACCTCAGCCGTCTACCAAGTCCCGCAGACAGCGTCTCGCGGGCTGCCGGAACCCGCGCGCAGGCGCCCTGTGCGCACACGTACGCCCGAGGGGCGGGGCGGGCCCGAGGGGCGGGGCGGGCGCGGCGGGCCTCAGAGCATGCCCAGACCCGGCCCTGAGGGAGCCGCGCGCGGCGCCTGGGGACTCTACTGGTGCAGCTAGCTCCCCGGGGCTTTGCTAAGTAAGGATGGGCTGGTTTCTTCCCTTTCAACGTTTTATGATGATAATTTTAGTGCAGTAGAAAAAGTTAAAAGAACAATTCGGTGAACACCTGTATACCCTCCACCTAGATCAAACAATTCTTAACATGTTGCCATTTCTGATCGTTCACTCTACCCACCTGTATGTGTATTTGCTTGCATTTTCAAAGTTGTTGTGTTGAACCTTTGGAAACTAAGTTGCAGACATCATAACAGTTCAGAACTTATACTTTTCCTCATAACATTTTACACTTAGATACTATAATATTCATTTTCACAGAATAAGAGTGATATCCTGAGCTCTTAGCATGTACAAGGTCCCGGATTCAATTCCCCAAACCGCATAATAATAAGTAAATGGGGAGGGGGACAATATCCTATAAAACTACAATGTCCTTATTACACCTAAGAAAATTATACCAGCAAACAAAAAAATATACTGACTTAAAGTATGCCGTGTGTGTTTAACCAGAATCCAACCAAGGGTCATTCCCCCCCCCCCCCGCCCCTCTGATATTGACTCTTTTAGGATAGAAGCTAGAAGCCTTGTAAAATGTTCTGTTTTCAGTATTTGATTTTTTTATTTCATAGAGTCATTTAACTTGTTTCTCTATATTCCCAGTGAACTGTACGCTAAGTCTAGATGTTAGAATCTAAAGACTTGATTCAAGTGAAACATTTTTTAGGGGAAAAAAAAATACTTCAAATGATATTATTCACTTCATATTGCTTCACTTCATGTCAGAAGGTGTATAATATCAAGTTGTCCCACTTTTAATAAAATTAAGTTTGATCCGTTGGTTAAAGTAGTAGCCGCTAGATTTCATTATAAACTTAACACTTTACAGTATAGTAAGTAAAAAAGTACTAATATTAACATTACAGTAATATTTGTAAGTGATATGGGTGATATTCTGGTACTGTGAGACTGGCCTGATTCCTGCAACCTGGAGAGACAGACTTTTGAGACTTAACTGGAATAGTTTAGAAGTTTTTTTGTTTTGTTTTTTAAATATTTTTAGTTGTAGATGGATACAATACCTTTATTTTGCTTAACTTTTTATGTGGTGCCGGGGATCAAACCCAGTGTTCCACGTGTGCTGCGCAAGCGTTTTACCACTGAGACACAAACCCAGCCCCAGAAATGGTTTTTGATTTGGAAAAAGAACAGTGGATGAGGATTCCAAAAACATGGATTTGAGTCCCAACTCTACCATGTGATCTCAAGTAACTTCTAAACCTGTTTGAAGATGATACTTTAAAGAGTGATGAGATTAAATCTTTTGAAAGAATTTGAAAAATCTTTAAAGTACCATATAAATGTAAAGAATCATTAGACTGAGTTAAGACTTTTCAGTCTGTAATATATGATAATGCCTG